GCTATTAGACTAAGGCAATTCCTTTAATAACTATTTATTTTATTATATTAATTCTTATAAATAGGTTTTTTAATAGCTATTTATAATCTACTAATAGTTATAAATAGCTAGTATTTATATAAATCTGAAATACTTTATTCTTTACTATAATCTTAATACCTAAGATAATATATTTATATCTAGTAATATTAGTAAATAATAGAGTCTTAGTAGAAGTTATTATAATAATCTTAATATTTATAAAACCGGGCTAAATAGACTTAATAATATTATTTATAATAGAAATTCTTTTTGCCTTTACTAAATACGAGTTAGAATATATATACTTAAAGAATTTATTTCGAGACTTAAATATAGACTTGTATTTCTTATAAATAGTTATATACTTAATTATAGAGATTATGGGAATTACTATATATATATTATTTTCTGGCTTACTAATAGGGTCTAATTCCTTAGAGAAGATATAGCCGTATTCTTAGAGCTTATTATTATATTATATACCGTATTTTTCGGAGATATTAAGGTAATTATTATTAACTATATTACTACTATTAAATTAATAAAAGCAATAGTAATACTAATTTCCGTTAGAGTTATTTCTTAAGAATAATATATTAAAGTAAATATACTTCTTTATATCTTTCTTATTCTTTATAAATCCTATAGTTAGTTATAGATATAGATAGAAATATAGAAAAGCCTTCTAATTATTCTTTTATAATATATTAGTAGAGTTCTAGGAGCTATCTAATAGCTATAGCTATTAAGATTAAGGATTGAGATTTGAGAAAGGATAAAACGGGCAAAAGTTTATATTTAGATAGAAGAATCGAACTAGTTAATAATCCCATTTATAATTATAATTTTGATTCCGGTAAGAGAGATATATATTACCTGTCAGGCAGCGGTCCGTCCTTATTAATTCTCGTAATTTATTATTTTTTATATAATAGATCTCGAACTATAAGTCTTGCTTTAATACTACTATATTTATAAACTGCCTGAGTATAGTATTTTCAATAGATCTCTTAATATATACTCTGAGTTCCGGATCCAAGTTATTCCAGGCCTATAATAGCTATTAGATTGGCTTATTAAACTTGGCGGCTTTAGTATATTATATTATAAATACTATATAGGAATATATATTCTTGCTAGTTCTTATATTATCCTTAGTATATATTTCCGATTATAATTTTCTCAAGGTAATTAATAGAGGGTCCTTGAAATATTAAATTAATGCTTTTGTTTATTATTTAATATTGTCTTGAGAGAACTTGAGTCCGGCTCGGTATAAATCGTCTAGCTTACTAGTATACTACTCAAGTACCGCTCCCTAAAAACAAGTAATAAGATTTTGATATATAACTACGGCTTGTTTACTAGTTATATTATCTTATACTATATCTGTAAAAAGGTATATGTTTCTCTAGTAGATATTATTTCCAATAGTAATATAATTTTCCTCTCCTTCTGATTCGGCGAGATCTGGGTCAAAATATCCGATATTAGCGGCTCTCTACCGGGTATCCGTAAGGTCTATATGGTCTTGAGGGAGGACAGGTAGTAGAGTGGTATTCCCTCCTTCGTTTCCGTATTACTATTTGAGGATAGTAATAACTGTATTAGCAATTATGGTTACTATATCTTCTCTAGAGAGTAGTTCGCCTATGGCTTGTAAAGAACCTCGGCGTATATCCTCGGTTTTATTAGTTTGCGGAGAATCTCGGCATATATCCTCTATCTCGTCTGATCCTTGCGAATTATCCCTTTGTTTACCGGTACTTATGTTCGCAGTATATGTGGCGGGTGGTAAAATGTGGTCCGTGCCTTCCCAATTCCCGGGGATATTGTATAAAGGAGTTAAAGGAGTCGAGAACTCGGGGATCTTGCGTATCTGTACCGAGAATTCGCATAAGGTCTTTCTGAAGAGTGATTTGTCGATTGCCTAATTACTGGGAAAGGGGCTTGGTTCTGTGGAGTATCGGCTACTTGATGCGGAGGAGGTTGAGGCTTTACGTCGAGGGTAACGTGCTGTAATCCCCTTAATTGCTCTGCGATCGGTTGTGCCAATCTCCTTGGATGAAGCGTAATTTGATGCGAAAAAGGAGCGGAATTAATGAGCTTTCTCGATGAGTTCGTTAGGCAACTTGTCTATCGGTGGTTGATAGTGATGTGTGTGCTAGCGAGTATCATGTGACCGAGTGTGAATTGTGTTCAGTTCGCGGCGTATAACGTCCGGACCAAAATGGAGGCCTGGAATGGTGTCATAAAGCTTGAATGAAGCCTATAATAATGGTGTACCTGGTATTGCTACTATTTGTGGGAATTGTTGGTGTGTTTAAAGATGTTTCTATTGATTCTATAGGGATTCTAGTTCTAGTGACCATGATTATGTCATTATGTACCTCCCATTGGCCCAACACTCTCAGCTTCTTTCTATTACTAGTAGGTCCCCGCTTGGTAGTCTCCTTTTTTATCCAAAACCGGGCTTTCTCAATTATATTGAGATCAGGTGAGTTTCCTGGCCAAAGTATCTTTATAATCTTCATTAGAATTCAGAACAAAGTGTGTATAGAGAGGTGTATATTAGGGTTAATTATCTCCCCTTTACTAGCTACTAATTAGTGGACTCGCCTATATTTATGGGCGTTTGGGGGCGTTTAGTACCTGTCAAGCTGCATAAGCCCATATTAAGCCTTCAGGGCACTTTTAGTAAGCTTATAGGGGCTTACAGGGGACTAGGACTAGCTACAGGGAGATCAAAGTAAGACCTTACAGGGCATTTAGTGGCCTTAATAAAATAATGCCCTGTATTCCTGATACTTTATGCCGTGATCTTCGTATATCCCGTAGACCCTGAGGGTTATTCTGAGCTTCCCAAAACCTCGGGTCGTAAGAGATTCTGCACCCCAGGGATGTGGAATCTTGTTTGCCAGGCCAAACCACCAGATGTCGATCTTGCCATTAGTAGAGGCAACCGAACATGGTCGTTACTACAGAATTACAATCGTCGTCATTCAAAAGAGCCCTGTGTTGCATGTAGTATCACTATTGGCGAATTGCGCACAAACAATCGGCATTGGGCCCTGGTAGACTCTAAGAATCCAGCTGGAGGTGTGATGTGCTGTTACCCTTGTGCGTAGGGCTACAAACCTCGGGACATTCCATGCCCATTCCGAGGTTGTTGCCGAAAGTTTCGAAACCTGAGTCATTGCAACAGGCACTCTCTTACCTCTATGCACAGATTTCACGCTCCAATTATGAGCTTCAAAAATCAAGGGTTACGCAATTTTCAGTGCTCAACTGCCCGTGAGATGCCCATCACAAGAACAGTTATACGCTCTGGTTGCTACCATTCTTGCCAGAGCTGTGGCGGCATTTTGTAGCAAAGGAATGCTTAAAGGTTCATAAATGGGTTCATGAATCTAGCAAGAATTGGCCTTACAAGTGTACTGAATGGTTCGTTACATTTCATGTACAACTACGTATCGCTAACTAATGTAAAGCAGCAATAGGTTTTATCGCCGAGGCGATCTTAGCCGCCACCGAACTGTACAGCATCTTCCCTTACAAGAACGGAGACATTCGTGCATTGAATGCGGGCAAAGCTTCTGCAGAAAAGCAATATTGGCCATGCATATCGCAAAAAAGCATGAGTCACACAATGAATGGAAATATGAGTGTGAGCAGTGCCATGAGCATTATCCCACTCTGGACAACCTGCGAGCACATCAACGAGTCCACCACATTGCGGAATCTGAATATCCCTTATGCTGTCCAGAATGCCCGCGTAGGTTCTTTCAATCCCGCTTGCTTCGAGAGCACTTCTTAGAAAGTCATATATCATCCGAGGAATGGCCATATGCCTGCACGTCATGTGGGAAGCGATATGTGAGACAGTACGCCTGCGTGCAGCATGAAAGGACTCGCAAAGGGGGCTCCTCTGTAAGTCAATTCATTTGGGCTAGACAATGTTTTTACACAAGATTTGTATTTATAGTACCTATAAGACAATATAGGTTATGGATATAGAGCTGACCTGCCGCAGGAATTGTGCTGTCGAGCTTGTCTGAGACTGTTAGACAATAAGAAAGTCTTTGACCAGCATGCGCAATACTATTTGAATACAGAAGGACGCAGAAGCTGTCGGATATGCAACACCAAGTTTGCGGCAGATAAAGACTTGGTTAAGCATTTCAAGACTTCACATCCGCGCCAACGTACTTTCCATTGCCCATACTGTGCTTGGGGTAACATGCTCAAGTTTGCAAAATTGAAGTACCATACAGAAAAGTTAAAGGGGTCCTGTTCAACGCTTACAATTTTCAATCCGTTATACTCTTGCGACATCTGTGGCCACACATGGTCAACTAAAACCTTCAAAGAGGCTCACCGGCGTCTGCACTGTAAGGGTTCCTTAGCACCTTTCTCAAATGCAGGGTGTGACGCGGCAACTGCTCTAGAAGCGTCAAAACTGGCCTTAGGAGAATAAAGTTTCTGAGTTAGTAGTTAAAAGGAATAGGTAAAACTTAAAAATCAAGTTACTTTATTGTACTTTAAGTAGCGAAAAATAGGTCTTAACGGGCCCGAATATCTGCCGGGGGTGGGTGACTTGCTGGATCCTTTCTAGAGGTTCGATGCACTCTGTTTATAAGTCGATTGATACCGAACGAAATACCCCGGAAACTTGAGGTTTGGACCTCAGTTTTCTAAAGGGTTTCGTTTTGCGCGAGTTTAATTTTCTACGCTTCGCTACGATGGGCTGTGCGGGAGGTGAAAGTTCGCCTTGCACAGCCCCTTCCGCCCTCCATTTTCAACTAGTATCCTTGGGCTACGGTAAGCCCATATTTCTGCCTTCCTCACGTGGCGTTGCGGCTGTGCTTCTCGAGCCTGATCGGCAAAGTCATCCATATTTCGCGATGTAATCTTCCGTCTGAGAACCGTGCTCTGGTGTGTGCTACAAAAGCCAAATACCCAGGGCTACGACTAGACAAATGGCAGATCCATTGTCGATCTCTGCCAGTATTCCAGGATTGATGACCATTGCTGACATCGTGATTCGCAACGGGTACAAATATATTCGGGCTGTCCGAGATTCAGACAAGGCTGTGGCCAAGTTAATCAGTGATGTTAATTCCCTGTCAGGGATTCTTCACAGCCTTCGAAACATCGCGGAAGGATTAGAGGGGGAGAGCGCACCTTTCATCTCGACAACGCAGGTTCACCATGTTGAATCTTGCTACCGAACTCTGCGGAAGATCAACGACTTGTTGGACAAGTTCGAGCTATCGAAGACAAAAGGTTTTCTTGATCAGGCTAAGGAACGTCTAAGATGGCCGTTAACCCACTCTGAGACGAAAGCCTTGGCATCAGAAGTTGAGGGGCATAGAGAAAAGTTGGCCTTGGCGTTGAACGCAGATGAGATGTAAGCTTAGAGCTATCCAGAATTGCAAGCGAGCATTCAGTTACTAACTTGCTCGTAGGTCTGCCTTAATCATCCTCCTTGCGAGGCAAGACGCCTTAGGAACAACTCTGTCGGATATTAAGAGAGGACTAGAGAAGGATCGAGTGGAAAGGCATATTATAGTATTGAGTGAGTGTTGAGGCTGGCAATTAATTCTCGCCGAGCAGGTTGCTAATAGGAAGTGGTTAGATGACGCTCGGAAAGAAATCCTGGAATGGTTGGTTCCTGCGAATATCGACCCAATGAGAAATCAAGAATCTGCTGTCACCCTTAGACAACCGGGTACGGGAGTATGGTTTACAGATGGTATTGAATTCCAAGAGTGGAAACTAAAGAGAAACTCAAAACTCTGGCTCCACGGCATTCGTATATATAGAAAAAACGCGTTCTCTAGCCACCGTCTGACTTGTGTTACAATGTCTAGCTGGTGCTGGTAAAACGATTTTGATGTGGGTAATATTATCCTAAACTAATATTCCAAATGCTAATAGCATATAGGTCTACAATCATTCAAGAACTCGGGAAAATTGTCGGCGAAGAAGAAGGTCAGTGCTTAAGAGTTCTGTTATATTAGGAATAATTGCCTACTAACATCGAATTAGGATTTGCATTCTTCTACTGTGACTACAAAGATGCCGCCACCCAGCAACTATCGAATATCCTTGGCTCCCTAATCAAGCAACTCGTATTGCAGAAAGAAGCCGCGTTTGACTTATTGATTATCTTTCACGAAAGCTATCTCCAGCCTTCAGGTGGCTATCGGTCACCAAACCCCGAATCGATGCTTCGACTTCTGCACCAGATTACAGACCTATTCTCTCTGACGACGGTGCTTATCTATGGTCTAGATGAGATTACAAGCAACCGTTTAGATGCTATCAATGTCATCCAACGAATTCAGCAAGATCACCGTAGAGTTAGAGCACTCTACGCGAGTCGTCGTGAAGCTGACATTGAGCAATCCCTAGGAGGGTACGAACAAGTCTTCATAGTAGCTAGAAGCAGCGACTTGGAGCTATATGTTGCCTCCGAAATTGACACAAGGACGAGAAAAAGGCAGCTCAATATTAAAGATCCGGACTTGAAAGAGCAAATAATGAAGCGTTTAATTCACGGAGCTGATGGGATGTGAGTATTAATCTAGTATAGCTCTGTTACACATAGATTCTTACTGTTTCAGGTTTCGATGGGTTGCTTGTCAGATAGACCACCTTTGCGAGTTACCAACAGACAAGGCTCGTGCAAAAGCCTTGGACAAATTGCCCCGTGGCCTACCCGAGACCTACGAGCGTATTTTGGGCCGCGTTCTCGAAAGCCACACAGAAATACATGATCTAGTATCAAGAACCCTGCAATGGCTTGCGTGCGCAATCCGGCCATTGAGTGGTCGTGCACTACTCGAAGCCCTGGCTATCACACCTGGGGATACCTGTTTCGACCCCAATGCAATGACCTCCGAAAACGAGATTTTACGATGGTGTAGTAGTCTTGTTCGTCGACGAGCCACAGGTGATGGGATCGAACTAGCACATTTCACAGTCAAGGAATATTTGCTGTCTATTGAACCCACCAAAGACCCAAGGTTGGCTCCATTCAAGATCTGTACTAAGGATAGTAATCTACTTCTCGGACAAGTTTGCCTCACGTATCTCAACCTAGATGAATTGGGCAAATCCCCCCTCCAGCGAACATATTCGATGACATATGGTCTGATGACTCCGATCTGGAGTTAGAGGAGGGGAATGAGGGATATGGAGAATGCAGCGAGGGTGACTATGACGATGACGAAGATAATGAGAGCAGCGATAAGGAAAGTGACTCTATGGGCACGAACGAGTCTCTCGATGGGAGATCCGGTGATGACAATAGCTCTCGAATGCAAAAAGGGAAACCTCAAGGCTCAAGTTTGATCAGCCGGGAGATCAAACAACAAGAGAAACCTAAGAAACCAGCGGACGCTGCTTTCGCACCAAGGTGTGACAAATACCCTCTCTTGATGTACGCTGCCTCTAACTGGGATTCACATCTACGTTCATATCACCAGGACCCCCTGGTTGTTCATCTGTCACACAAGTTATTTGACCCCCGCAAGCCATACCAGTTTTTATGGTGGTCTTATGCTTTCCAATCTGATGCACGATTCGATACGTGGGAGAGAAATTTTTCAGACACGGTGACCTTGCACTGGGCGGCTCTTCTCTCTCGGCATGAGGTTTGTTCGTGGCTTCTTAAGGAAGGGAGCGATGTGAATCGCATCTCTGAGCTCGGCTCCCCCTTGGATTGCGCTATTCTTGGGACAACAACTCTCTGGAGATTTGATGAAGGTGACTTGATCGGTCGGATGGTGGACAATTTCGATTCTGACGTAGAAGCCGAACATTTTTCACGGTCCACTGCCACCACTGTTCACCATCTCCTACGCGCAGGAGCTAGGGTTGATAAGATTACGGATCCAGATTTTGCTGTTCATCCTCTCAAGATGGCATTGATCCTTGAGTGTGACAATCCTGGGTTGATCTCCTACCTTTTGGATGCAGGGGCATTGATAGATGAACCTATCCTTGAGCTCGTCGACGAATTTCTTGCAAATCACCTCGATGGTGTATCAAACGCCACTGTTCCCCGTGGAATTCAAGCTATATTTTCGGGCACGGCGTCCCAAAATGTTTCTTCTGCTGTTCGACCATTGTATCAAAGGATATCGCGTCAATTATCCGCGCTAGAGGCAGAAAGTGATCTATCAGAGCAACTTGGGGCCCAATTTGATATAGAGGAGGCCAGGCAAGACTTTCTACAAGCTTCAGAGCACGGTGTGTGCAGAAGTGTGTCCTCTCTAATGTCCTCCCTGCGAAAACTCGACCCGGAGGGTGCGGAGTTAACACTGGCCTTGGGCCTTTTGCTTGCTTTACATAACAACCACGCAGATGTGGTATGTTTGCTTCTGAGTAACGGCTTAAACCCGAATGAGGTGGACGCCGATGGAAATTCCTCTGTCCACAGATTTTTGATTACGCACGTGGGCAACGATGTCAGAATCACCATTGAAAACATCAAGAAACTTGTCGAATACGGAGCGGACCTGACAATGCGGAACAATAGTGGCGAGTGTCCACTCCATATAGCAGCAAAATCCGAACACGACGGTCTTTTAAAGGCAATTTTCGAGCTCGTGGCTGCCGATACTACGCAATCACTTCTGGCTATCATCAATCCTAGCCTCTTGCAGTATGCTATAGCATGGGGCTGTGACGAAAATGTGGAACTTTTGGTGCAGAAATATCATACCATCAATCCAATTGACCATCAATCGAAAGATGGCATGTCTCTCATAACCCTTGCCGCAAATCGAGAGACAGCACTTGCCGTACGCCTTCTCCACCAGCGAGGCCTGACAACCAGCAATGTCAGTGCAGATGGATCGTCGGTGCTATTCAGTGCAACAGGAAGCCCAAGCGGAGATGCATTTAACTTCTTAATGGGCATCGGTGCCGTTGATAACTCTTCTCGGCTCGATGGTAAAAAAGCCATTCACGAGGCTGTCAAAAGGCACTGGCCCACCTCCAGCTCTAAACTTGCTACTCTATTGCGAGCGGGGGAAGATCCGAATACTCAGACATCTGATGGGTCTACACCACTAACACTCGCTGCCGGTAATCTGAATATGGAAAAGCTCCAGCTGCTCGCTGAACATGAAAAAATCGACATTAATTGCAGAGATAGCCGGGGCATGACACCTTTGATGATTTGTTCTCAGAATCTGGTTTTCCGACGGCCGGACCACGGGCTGAGCGACCGGCGACACCTTGTTCCAGGCATTGAGTGCCTGATCAAGCACAAAGCTGATGTTGCTCTTGTTGATTCCAAAAATGAAGGGACGGCCCTCCACTACCTCACTTGGGAAGGCATCACATCCACCTCCTTCGATATTGTTAAACTCCTAGTTGCCTCAGGTGCCTCTTTATATTCCAGGGACAAATTTGGATTAACGCCCTTTGAGTTTCTGTTCAGCACCTGTACCAAGTCAGGGCGTAAAGCTCGATCTTTCATCCGGTCGGAAGATTTCACCCCGAACAATGTCCTTCGCTTTATTATCAACAATGCTTGCGATCATCTGAACGATTATCTGAGTGTTGGAATACCGCCATTGAATTTTGCACTTAAAAATAGCGAAAATACCGCAGTGGAGCTTCTACTGGCAAAGGAGGAGGTTAGCGTTGATATTAGGAGTAGAGACAATGACCAACTTACCGCCCTAGAGGTCGCTGCATCCTCGGGCTGTGCAGAGGGTATTGCTCGAGCACTTTTATCTCGTACCGATAACCCCATGTCTACCCTTGATCCTCTCAGAGGGTACACACTCCTGCACTTCGCAGCTTGTGACCTCGAAGACCAGCAGATGTTAAGGATATTACTTGAGCGCGGTGTCGACATTGAAACTTTGAACAAGGCTGGCGAGACAGCACTCCATACAGCGATACTCAAGAACAACCTCGCAGCAGTGAGGTCATTGCTCGCAGCAGGCGCCGATGTCGCTGCCGTTTCAGGGAGTTCGGCAAAGTGCTCATTATACTTAGCTGCTGATGCTGGAAACCTCCCGGTTGTAGAGGCTTTGATCAGATTCGGCGCTGATATAAATACCTCGTCCACAGATACAAAATCAACAGCATTGCACATTGCCTCGAGACGGGCTCCGTGGGGCTTAATATCATTTCTAATACGACATGAGGCAAATATCGATGGACGAGATATTACGGGAGCAACACCCTATCTCGTGGCTGTCAAGGCAAATCGGTGGGATATAGTTCGGAAGTTCGTCAAGACGACTGCCGACCTGAGTGCAACGGATTTCGATGGACTGGGAGCGATACATTACGCAATTATGGCTGGGTCCGTACCTGTTGTAAAATTCTTTCAGAGACACGGCATATCCTTAAGCCAAGATATTAGGGACCATGATGGCAACTCCCATGGAAATACACTCACTTGCGCTTGTATATTGGGGAGCATTGATCTCTTTCAAACAGTCTGGGAGAACGGAGTTACGGATTGTACCAACGACTATGGATGGGGACTGGCACACTTTTCTGTACGAGCACAGGTCGAAGGCGTCCGGAATTTGCTCCTGTCACAGAATGTCTGCTGGACTCTGAACACAGCATCAGTAACCTTCCAATCGAAACCGAATGTCGACTGGGCTCCGAACACAGCAGCATTAACTTTCCACTCGAAACTTCCAAGCTCTAGAGATATCCAGGGTCTCCTGCCTCTTCATGTGGCAGCTGCTATAGGAAATGATGCAGCACTCAACTTTCTCAGCCATAATAAGCTCATTCCCGATATGGATGCTATTACCACAGGGGTTGAGGGTTACTCTTCCCTACATCTTGCTACAACATTCAATCGACTAAGCTCGGTCAGTCTCTTAGCGAGGTTAGGCTCAGATATAAATCTCAAAGCCAAGGTCGATGAAGAGACAGCCCTCCATATTGCTGCTCGACTGGGATTTGTTGAGATTGTTAGTGCGCTCCTTGAAATGGGTTGCCAACCAAATCCAGTGGATGCCAAGGGTATAACACCCGAGTTTCTAGCTATCGAGAACGGCCCCAAGAAATTGGAACAATCCTAGGCAGGCATCTCGACTCTTTAGGTCCACAACAAGAGGCCAAAGAAGACGCAGATTTGAGCGTTTCAGTACTCAGAACAGGTCGAGGGAAAACTTGGTGAATTTCAATTGCTCAAGGCGCGCACATTCGAAAACTTATGACTTAAGACGTTTTAATTTATGCTATATATAACAGCGAATCTTTAGAAGAATCAAAGAGATTATTGACAGAAAATAAGAATCACAGTGTTTATAGTCTAGGAAAGCCTTTGCAAAGGCTTCTATAGTCATGTAGTTCGCGTAAAAGCGTCAATATATATATATAAATTATAATAAGAGAGGTGTGAATAGCTTTGATTATTGTATTAATTAATTAAAAGATATAAGAATTAATTGTAAACCAGTTCGTTATTTTATGATATAAAGAAGAAATATAATCCGTATATACCGATTGTGTGATGGCTGCTTGCGGAGTAGTCAAGATTCATGACAGGTAAGCGGCGGAAGGGTCTTAGCGAGCCCGAGGATCTGTCGGGAGTGCTGACTTGCTGATTTCTCTCGTCGAGATCGATACACTCTGCTCATAAGTCGATTGATACAGAACAAAACACCTCGGAAACTTGAGGTTATAACCTCTATTTTCTAAGGGGTTTCGCTTTGCGCTAAATTAGATTATCTTTGTCATGATTTACGTATCCTTGTAACGACGCACGAGCTCACGGGCAAAGAAGAGGCGCAAAGGAGCACTTTCAGAGGCTAATCGGAGCAATCGCATAGGTCTGATACTAAGGAGAATCTAAAGATAAAGAGAGAAAAGAAGAAGAGAAGAGGGAAACGCCATATGGGCCCGTAACCTCCTGACCAGAAGATTACACGTCCGAATCGGGTCTGGCCCTGAGGCTAATAGCCGGTGCCCCTCCCACGCGCTTCGCTTGTGGTCGGGATAAGCAAGTGTCTCGTTTAACCAAGTGTCCCATCGAGATTTTAGCCGATTCTTGATTTTTGGTACGTATCGCATACAAAATCAAGCATATTTGCAATGGAATTTAAGGATACTAGTTATAAAAAATATAAAGCTACCTAGAACTATATAAAATCGGCATTCGCTTATATACTATTAATTGAGCCCGC